CACACAGGAGAGAAACCCTTTGAATGTCCTATCTGTGGGAAAAGTTTTAGTGATAATTCCACGCTGGTGAGGCACCAGAGGACTCACACAGGAGAAAAATCCTATGAATGTCCAGACTGTGGAAAACGTTTTAGTCAGAATTCCCACCTCATGAGACACCAGAGGACTCACACAGGAGAGAAACTGTTTGAATGTCCTGACTGTGGAAAAGGTTTTAGTCAGAATTCCCATCTCATGACTCACCAGAGTACTCACACGGGAGAGAAACATTTTGAATGTCCTATCTGTGGGAAAAGTTTTCGTGATAATTCCAGCCTGGTGAAACACCAGACAACTCACACAGGAGAGAAACACTTCAAATGTCCTGACTGTGAGAAAAGTTTCAGTCAGAATTCCTGTCTGATAATACACCAGAGGACTCACACAGGAGAAAAACCCTTTGAATGTCCTATTTGTGGGAAAAGTTTCAGTCAAAATTCCCACCTCATGACTCACCAGAGGACTCACACAGGAGAGAAACCCTTTGAATGTCCTGATTGTCGGAAAAGTTTCAGTCAGAATTCCTACTTGGTAATACACCAGAGGACTCACACAGGAGAGAAACCCTTTGAATGTCCTGATTGTCGGAAAAGTTTCAGTCAGAATTCCTACCTGGTAATACACCAGAGGACTCATACAGGAGAGAAACCCTTTGAATGTCCTGATTGTGGGAAAAGTTTCAGTCGGAATTCCTATATGTTAATACACCAGAGTACTCACACCGTGGGGAAACCTTCAAAAGTCCAGTCTGTGATCTTTACTTCAAGCATAAATCATCCCTTAGTGCACACAAGGAAATCCACATAAGGCAAAAGTTGAAGAGTTTAGAGAAGGACTGAATTTCATTTGTGATCTCCCATTCACAAAGTGTAGATGAGAAATTGACTGAATTCTGGGCTGATTGTATTCAAAGTTTTCTCAGGGTTAAACCTATAGGTGGAGAGAAAAGGAAAATGGAAAATGGCTAACGGTCATTTTCTGGTTATCAGCAGAATCTTCTAGATATTTCCTGTTGCAGAAAAAGTGGAATTTCTCAAAAAGGAATTTTGGATGGTGCTTTTGTATGTTGATTATGGACCCACATATGGAGTTTCAACTTTGGTTTCACCAAGATTTTAAGCCCCAGAATTCCCCAGCCAGCATAAAAGTAGTCCTCAAGATACAACTATTATGTGCCTTGCAAATATGTTTGCAGGTTGCAATGACTGTTAAGTGAGACTGCTTTCCTTAATTACCCAATAACGGGTTTGAAAGATCAGTCATTGTGCAGGGTGCCAAGATTTCTGACTACATACATAGCGTTTATTACTTTTATAGGGTTTTTACAAGAAGACAAAGGCAACATAGATACAGGATGTGGATTGGAGCATAAACATCACATTGGTAAAAAACCCCAACCACATTGGTAAAACCTCCCAACCAATCCTTAAGAATAGTGGTGATGTTAGTAAAATGAGATCACCTATAAGGCCGGAAAGTCTGGGACTTTCCACCTTCACCAAGATAGGGAATGAGGTCATGCAATAGCAAAGAGGCCAATATAGGTATTAGACACTGCAGCATGCTGCTAGTACCATCTACAGCAGGGGTCCCCAACCACCGGTCCGGGGACCGGTACCGGTCCGCGGAACAAGTCCTACCGGGCCGCTGGTTGCTGGGCGCCGCCATCTTTTTTGATGAAAAAGTGCTTCCGG